CTGTCAATTTCCCGTTTGTAATCTAAAATGACTGAAAATTGCAAACTTCGCAAGGCTATATTATCCGCATTTTACAACATTTCGCAACGAAACTTTGGAATATTACTAATTTTGTGATGCTCTTTCAAACTGTGATGAAATTTTTATCTAGATCAAAATTTAGTCTATTACGCAAATGGTCAATTGTCATTAAAACCCACGTGGGTCTTGGTGGCGCAGTCGTCCGACCACGCGCCTTTCACCTCTGACATTGCGGGTTCCATTCTCGTTGCGGACTCACGGCACTTACGTGACAAGAGTCAGTCATGCCTGAGCGTTAACTTCGACCTCAGTTATACGACATCGTCAGATTAATATAAATGAATGCACGATACCTTCTCAAATTGGTGAACACGAAATATTCCACGTGTATCACGACCATGGGCTCCAACCTCCTGTCTGAAACATGTAGAAGTACCGCCATATTTCTTAGGTAGGTCATTTTGATCAAGCCATTCTCCTCTATGAAATGCTGCTATTGGTTGTTCACTTGTTGCTATTAAATATTTCTCATCAACTGTACCATCTTCAGCAGTTCCTTTACCTACAACCTGTGATGATAACTGAGATGCGGAACTGAATCTTACATACTTATACACATACATAGTATATACATTGTACTGTAAAACACTAGGACCTATCATAATATTCTCTACATGACGGTACAGGATGTAAGAGGCGGGACACGTTTCCTGGATCATGCCAAGAGTTTGCCTGAATAAAAAATATCTCGTATTTTGACTTATTATTAACAAGTATCATGAAATGAATGACCGACTTATTACACTATAATGTCAGCAAAGCAGTTAATCCAAACATCTTCAAATCTTAGTCAAAACTTTTGAATTTGCATTTAATTTTTCTCTGTGTTGTTTTCTTATTGTTTTTCTTTCATCGTATACTTAGGAAACATTGCAATTTACTGTTCTCTTTCTTGCTTGAATATGCGATCGCACGCACCTTGTACAATTCTTCATCAAACTGACTCAACTGAGCAACTTCTTGCATGACATCTTTACGCATGAAGAATGGCGTATAAAGTGGTGTAAATCCTTTTTCATACAGCATCTGCATTGAATGTTGGAGTAGAGCGTACTCTAAGAATATTAACGGACCCTAAAATATAAAATGCCGATTTATTCTAATTTGGGCACACACTAATGTTACGGGAGTACACAACCATGTCAATTGCAGTCTTTACCCTCAGGAAAATGACATGCATGCCTGTCGTCTGCTGGAGACAGACCATTTTCTTTTTGATGATCATTCCGTTAGACTTTTTTCAGATGGGCTTTTTTCAAATGTGTTCCTGGCACAAGTTTATGATTTAAGCTGAACTGCCAAATTACAGATTTCTCATAATAGAGAGGATTTGACTTCTACTACCACTCACTCGCTTAGTACGCATCTGATTGGTTAATCGGACATATCAAATGTATCTGATTGGTAGCGGTATCGGTAGTGAAAGGCAAATCTGAACTTCTCGATTATAACATTAAGACATAAAATTGGCCCTACTGCATGTATGTCAATAGCGAACATACCGTAAAGTCTCGAAAGTAAGCGCCCTGCTTACTTTCGAAATTAGTGGCCTCAAGGGGCGCTTACTTTCGAGGGGGCGCTTACTTTCGAAGAGCGCCTACTTTCCAGTTGTTATTTTCAGCATCGGCCATTTTTAAATCCATGCTATAGAGTAAATGGTTATAGGAGAAAACACGTGCGGAAGTCGCTCCAACGGCGTTGCAAATGCGGTATAGTGTATAAACTTGGTCCTTAAAATTACTGTTTCTACATGTTTTATCATGTCATTATTCGAAATGTTATCTTTATATAAATTGTTATCTTTATATATACCCTACAGTATGTTTTACAACTTTAAAAAACGTTTTCGGGGGTGGGGCGCTTACTTTCGAGGGGGCGCTTACTTTCCAGATTTTCTAGCAAGTGTTCAAAAAGGCGCTTACTTTCGAGGGGCGCTTACTTTCGAGACTTTACGGTAATTCAATAAATAACTTATTATTATAAATAAATTTCTTACCTTCATGAAATAGCCGCGACTTCCAGCCACTGATGCACCTCTATCAACATCAACACCATCAACCATAACTGCAAGATCTATATGAGAGTATTTCTTTTTTACTGAACAATCTCCTACCACTCGGATTATTCCATTATCATCCTACGTAATTGACAGAAATCAGCTAAATTATATGATGCACATATCCAATATACAGTACAATAGTCTTTTTCTACTTCAGAATCATCTTCAGAGATATGAAAAACTAGTTCTGACAATGCAGAGTGCAACGAAAAATTCGTATCTCGCACGGGATTCGAACTCGCATCTTCGTTGATCGCAGTAGTGCTTAGGTACATAGTCTGCTCCATGCGCACGTTGTGACACATGAACCGAACTCACATCTTCAGGTTTCTAGACCATTGAGCTATCGAGTCAACGGGAATTGGTAGTGAGTCTAATCCAATTTAAGTGCACGAAATATTTTCGCGACGACTTGACGCTTTTCATGGAGGACACGCAGTGTTTCAGTTCTATTTCAATAATGCACATGCAACATTTTATTATCTAATATAGCCTGCGAGCAGGCTCTCAAGTTATCTAATACTGTACGGAGCTACACTTTAAGTACTAATGCTGTATATGAAAAAAGATGATCTGATAGGGAGCAAGGAAATGCGGTTTTGCTGAAGGTCAAGATGAGAAGGAAGATATCAGGATAAGATGTGGGATGGTACGCAATACAGGGAATGAGAGAGAAGCTGGGATGAGAAGGTATGTTTTAAAGAGTTGAAGATGTGCTAGTCAGTGACATTACGGAATAAAGAGATCAGAGGAAGATATGGTGATAGACATTGCAAAGGAGGTGAAGAAAGCAAGACTGGGATGGTATAGACACGTAATAAGGAGAGATGAAGGAGAACACATCGGAAACATCATTGAGTCAGAGAAAGGGAGAAACAGGGGGCGGGTGAAACAGAATAGGAAATACGTGGACTGACAGTGGACAACAACTACGGAACGAAATGGATGAAGGACAAGAATTCCACCTGACTCTGGGGGAATCTGAGTAAAGTAAATATCACATCACATCGCAATCAAAAGCAATAAAGAAAGTGAAGGTCAAAGGTAATATAATTAGATACCTACGCACCTCATCATTACTAACTGGGACATCATCATGAAGTAAATTTCCAATCTCAAACAACATTGAATTTCTCTGTTTCTCCCATTCTTCCACTTGCTTACGACAGTTCACGATCTCTTCATCAATTAAAACACGAATTTTCTTTATCTGTGTTACGGTTAACCCCTAAAGATGATACGGTGGGTTAATGTCTGTGTTTATTGTCAGTGTCCATTGTCCGAGCTCATTTACGCGTTCGTTGTACAACTCAATTGAATGTCAACTGAACCACAAATTAATGTAAAAATATAGTTGTCCGATACGTAGTAGTGTCAAATATTCACAACTACAATACACGATTTGTTACGGTGGTTTTTTAAAACAAAAAAACTTGATATATTTTTACCAAACAAATATAATATGGGATACTCCGAGAGCTATACAGTAAAATTCATACTGATAATTTAAAGAATTATGGAATTATTATAAGAAATATGCATTGGACCATCTCAACGATATCGAGTGACCGTCTGAATTTCAAGCTAATATGTATTAAATTTACAGTGAATACGGTCAATGTATGAATGGAAATTGTGTATGGTAATTAGGTAGGCGCATGTTATGAAAGGAACAACAGCAAACAATGAAGGGTTTATGTGATTATTTAGACGTAATCAAAACACGTCGAGACTTACAGCACCTGCAAAGTTTCAGCATTAAGTTTTGACAAGTCATTGACTTCTTCAGGAAGTTCCTCGCTCTTTCCAACATCTTCTTTTTTCTTTCATTTTATAAAGAAAACATTTAAATCAACAAAAATACATAACTATATAATACAGTAATTGTACCTAATGTACGAATTAATTAATATGTCACAAATGCATGAACAAAAATGGATTTTCTAGTCGTCACTAGCATTGTTGGAGTGGGGGCAAGTGATTAAATTATCAGCATTTCAAGACGCCTTACTAGGCTTTTACATGCATGAGCTACGAGATCTGTGAAGGTTAGCGAAATCCGCGGCGGAAAGAAAACAGATACTTTTGTATTAAGTGTGTACAACAGCATGAAAAGTAGATATACATTTTATCGTCATAAAAATTATGTTGTTCAAATTCCGATTATTTTTTAAATATTTAAGATTTCCGGCCGTTTCGGTTATTCGCCGGTTGTACAACAATCCTGCGCCGCCTGTTTCAAAGAATATATACTTGAATGAATGTTAGACAGTTTTCAAAAGTAAAAAGTCCACAAGATCTCCTTGATTTCTCTCGTTGTGCTTATGTTTCAGTCGTCATATTGAAATTCCGCAACTGTATCTGATGATGACATTTTAGGGGAAATAAATGCAGTAAGTTATGCTTTTATGTAACGTACAGAGATACAATACATGTACATATGTCAGAATCAGACGATCATCGTTGTTTGAAATGTGTTGAAATAAGAAAAATAGTGAAATCAAATGAAATCATTTTTTTCATTTGGGTTGTAAACAGCCTTGGTATATACTAATATCTTAATTACCCCAAAGCTATTGCGAAGTACTTTGAGAGAACTGAGGTTCTTAAATCCAAAAGCATTCTCAGAGCGAAGCTCCGACTCCTTAGTTGTTGGGATCCTATATGGAGTATGGGCCCGTTATTGTGCCGCCTATTATATAATGTGAAACACCTGCTGACGGAAATTCTTTTGGAAACCCTGCATGTACATTTATGAAAAACAATTACTACAAACGCACAAACCACTTGCACTACTCGAATACTACGGGTAAACAGTAAAGTGAGGGCATAAAAATCTCACACCTTGTCAAGAAAATGTGTTCGCAACGGCGTTGTATAAACTTTGTCACGCAAAAATGTACTTGGAACAGTGTTGTTATTTTATCAAATTGCTTTATTTCATTAAAATCAATAAAATCAAGGTTGCCACGCACAACTTCTAAGTAACAAGTTGTTAAATTGCAGGACGAAACAGATGAGAACAACTTGTAACAAGTCTGTTGAGTCATCAACTTGTCGACAAGTTGGAAAAAGCAGCGTGAACACTGATACAGGTTTGTTGAAACAATGCTTGAATATGTCTGCCTGTAACAACGTGACTGTGCGTTTTTACGTTTGCCATCAACAAAAATCATGCGACGCTATATGTTAAGACGTTACATCTCGTTTCATGATGTAACAAGCATCAAATGACGTTGCGTTGAATTAGTGACGTAACAAAGAGCGTGCGAGCAATCAGCCATAATTGCATTGGCTTTCAACGTGCGCGGGAGTACATTATCAGAGATTATATTTCAGTTTCGTGTTATTGGTATTTTTAGTAAACGCTATGAGTGGCGAAGAAGAAATGTTTTCTCCGAAGATGAAAAACTTCCACGAAACTTGGTGGAGGATTTTGAGTATCAAGATTTTGAGAATCAAGAATAAGATTTTGAGAATGAAGAATTGTTGAGAGATTTTATGTTGGACCTGTCCCATATTCGGGTGCATTACATCTTTTATCACCGACGTTACAAGTACGTCCCCCCAAAGCGTGTTTCCCCGCCTAGCCACACTTCGCGAGGGATTTCATGACATGCGTGAGTGGAACAATACGATCGAGATTATTGGATCCTCATCATGTTGCTCCACTCACGAGAAAGACAGTAGGTTCAACAGTCTACATGACTGGAGCATGTACTGCATACGTTTACCGAGTACCTCGATGTACGTTTAAGATTGCACGGAAAAGATTGTTGAAGATCTGTAAGCCTGAGAGAGAATTTTATGCGTAAGAAGAGAAAAGATGATACTCGCGTGATTGGGGATAGAACGTCGGGGGTCGGTTGCTCAAAAGGCTGTTAGCTTAATCCTAGGTTAGCGGAAAATTTCGAAGCAAACATTCCAACAACTGGTTCATAAACAAGGAAGTATTTATAATTTCCAGGTATCTTGTCTGGATGGACTGAAGTTTTGTTTTCTGAAATTTTGAAATAAACAGAATGTATGCAGAAATGTACAAACCAAAAGAGGTTAAATTTTAACCCAGCGTTAGCACTAATCGAGCTTTGAACAATTGGCCCCAGATTATGAAGATTGTAGAGAAAGGAAATTATCTTAGACATTCAATATGAGGGAGCTGCATCAAGGAACGAAATTATGCAGAGATAGAGCTTGGGATTAAAGAAGTACATTAACATCTTGTACTTTAATAAAGCATATAGTTTTCTGAATGGCATTCGTTCAGTAACATGAAGCTATGAGTAATATTGGATTAAACACTGAAAAACTTTGTGCAGGTTACAGTACGGTACAGTACAGTACAGTGCAGTGCAGTGCAGTACAGTACAAGTATGAACATTTTGTCTACAAACAAATTTAATGGCATGCAGCACTTATAGTGATCAGAAAATCAATTCAGGTTAAATAAAGTTTACTAAAACGATTACCCTTTTTCTTGATAACGTTGAGCAAAGAGAGCAATTGGGAAGGAATCAAAAGGAAGGAAAGATCTCCACTTCTGAAATGTGGTGTCACAGATTTTGAAGAAGAGTTGGTACCAGAAGACTAATGTCTTCCTGCACTAACTCTTCTTCAATAGTAAAAATTTGTTCCAGGATTAATACTTCTTTCACTGGCAAACTAGAGCACACGTCGCGGGTTAAAATCAACACAAGCCTGCAGGCAACAACCAAAGTCTCAACAAATGATGCGGAAATTTGAAATTTGGGTAAGCACTAAGCAGAAACAGTTGAGGGGAGATAAGCAAGACAGAAAGATTATGAAGAACTTTTTTCTGTTTTGGGAGAAACCAGGTCTATAGACATTTTATTGTTGTGGATTATTATTTGATTATTATAATGTGGATATTTTTTCCTGACTAGAAAAAGGGCCAGTTTTGATGTAAGCAACTGGATTGACATAATGATTATAGGGTTATGGTGGTTGACAGGGTTAAAGTTGGGATTGGGGTAGTGATTAGGGTTTGTTTTAGTGTAAGGGTTATAGGTTATCTTCCATGGTAGGGTATAAGAAACGAGTTTTCAGATGGTGCTTCGACTAAGTGCTGTGTGTTGTGAATAAGTGTGGTGTGTATGTATGTAAGGGTGGTGTGTATGTAAGTGTGGCATGTATGTAAGGGTTGTGCTCTTTAATAATATTGCTCTCTAATGTATGCTATCGAAGGAATGTTTACAAAAGTGTGGCAGAAGTAAACAATTTTCTTTACGCTTTTTTGTGAAATGTAAAGTGAATCAAGGGTGTGAGTCAGATCTTCACAAATAAAAAAATGCATGTATAATGATATACCTACATCACAGATTCATGGATGGCTGTATGATGTACAATATGAAAGAAGAGAATATGCTGCACAATTTTTGTATAAATAACCATTAATTAAAGTCCATCAACTTTAAAACTCTGCACATGGGTTGGGGTTCAGTGGCTCATTGCATAATGCAAAAACATCCAACAAGCATTACACAAGCAAAGTGTTATGAACATAAATATGAAGTTGATACTGTAGAGTAAGGTATGGTGGTAGTTATTGATTACAGGGTCTTGCAAAAACAGTGCCACACATAAGGTCACCCAAACTTTAATGAAGTTGGGAAGCCACACAATCTCACCCTTGACAACAGTGTTGGGTTTATGTTGTATGCTACAAACCAGGAATTTTGATTCATGTACAATATCTCTGTCATTGTTAGTGCATTTTAAATAGCATGTCTTGACTTTTATTCCCATTGTTGCATGCAGAGGCAACATTTGGGGAATAAAAATAGCTGAATGATAGCTGATTAACCCATTAAGTTGTATTGTGTCCTGATGCACCCTACTTTATTAGTGAGTTTATGCAAGCCACATTTTTGTCAACATGCCAGACTGCAGAGTATGGCAGTGGCGCACCCAAGATAAATTTATGCTATAACAATTGCGCACTTGCCACGCCCTTTCTTCCGATTTTCTGCACCCAAGCCACACGACCACACCCGAGGATTTTTCCGTTTATTTGTGACGATTACATATTAAACTATTTTAACGTAAAACGCACTGTGCAGCAATACAGAAACTCGAGCAAAAACTTTGGTTCGGAGTTTGACCTGTGTATATTATATGACAAATTGAGCAATTGAGCATTTCTGCATTTGAACATGTGATTATGTACACATGTGGTGGTTGTAGTCACATTAGGATAAGTTGTTTGTGATGTTACTCTGAGTGTACATCCACACCGGGCAAGCTGAAAAGTTTGCCTGACCACGGTGAGAATCGAACCCGCGACCTATGGCATACTAGTCCAATGCTCTGCCAACTGAACTGTTGGGGGTCATGTTGAGGTCATTACTAAAAAGATCTCTTCTGGTATTGGGGCTCTAAAACGGGTGCGCGGGCTGATGATCAAGAAACTGCTATTAAAGCCTATAAAGTTTTTATTGAACCATACTTCTCCTATTGTGCCCCAGTATGGGACGGGCTCGGAGTAACTTTAATTAAGTGGTAGGCTTCAAAAAGTTCAAAACAGAGCAGCTCGTGTTATTACTCGCTCTACTTACGATATTTCATATCTAGTCAACTTCTAGATCAGCTGCAGTGGAACACTTTGTCGGTTAACCGTCATAAACGAAAAGCTGTTGTTATGTTTAAAACTCTTATTAAATAGTCAACCTCCCCAGTACTTACAAGAATTGTTTTCATCCAGGAATTGTCAATATTCACTAAGAAATTCTAATGGCAAGCTGTTTATTCCTAAGCCTAAGCCTAAGCATATTGATTATCTTAAGCGCTCCTTTAGTTATAGTGGAGCATCACTATGGAACAGCTTGCCTGAACCTCTTAGATCATCATCATCATCCCTCTCCTCGTTTAAAGGAAGTCTGGAATCTCTATATTCTTCAAGTCTTACCGACTCCCACACGGCAACCAGGTAGAACAGTAGTGAGCTTAAGCAAGTGACGTTTTTGACAACACGGACGTCGACCGGAAGTAAAGTTGACGTTTTTCACCAATCACAGCCCTTGACCCAGTCTTCGGACGTTACTCATGCCGTTCGTGTTTTCAAAAACGTCACTTGCTTAAACTCACTAGTACGTCTCCTCTTCTCCTTCTTCTCTTCAATCTTGTCTTCTTCCTTAACTTATATTAATTGTTCTTATTTGTAAACAGCTAATTATCATAATTATGTACTGATGGTTCTCCGTGTTTTAAATAAAGTAATTCGAATGGGTGATACTTCGGAATAGAGTTTAGTTCCTACGATATCAGTGTATTCTAAGATATAATGATTTCTGTGTGTGTTGGTATTATGTACTCAGGTGAATATGATGTTTGTGATGGGGTTAGGTTAAAACGCGGAAGCGGATACGGAACGGATGCGGAACGGATATGGGTTAAAATGCGGAACGGAACGGAAATGCGGAACGGATATGGGGTTAAAGTGCGGAACGGAACGGATATGCGGAACGGAACGGAAATGGGGTTAAAATGCGGAACGGATATTCCCGTTCCATTCCGCGTTTTAACCCCATATCCGTTCCGCATTTTAACCCCATATCCGTTCCGTATTTTAACCCCATATCCGTTCCGTTCCGCATTTTAACCCCATATCCGTTCCGTTCCGTTCCGCATTTCCGTTCCGTTCCGCATTTTAACCCCATATCCGTTCCGTTCCGCATATCCGTTCCGTTCCGCATTTTAACCCCATATCCGTTCCGTTCCGCATATCCGTTCCGTTCCGTATTTTAACCCCATATCCGTTCCGTTCCGCATATCCGTTCCGCATCCGTTCCGTTCCGCTTCCGCGTTTTAACCTAACCCGTTTGTGATGTTACCCGACGTGTGCATCCACACCGGGCAAACTGAAAAGTTTTCCTGACCACGGTGGGAATCGAATCCGCTGCTTTGCTCAGTTGGTAGAGCATTGGACTACAACCTTTGACAATATAGATTGGGACAATCTAGTTTTCACATGCATTCGGTTGTAGTATACCATTTGCTGATACATATTTTCCACACTCCCTCCCCCCACCCGTTCCAATGTTGGCGCCGCGCATCCAGACATCAGATTTTTATTGGCCCAACATTGAACTGGGGGAACGGGGGGCGCTATTCCTTTCAAAATATATGAAATTACAGCAGCTGTCCCATAGTTTCTGGCAAAGATTGTCTTGGTGGTGATCAATTGTGTTTGGAATCTGGTAATTAAACGTTTTAGTTTTAAGTTTATACCGCCCAATTACATATATTTCAGTATCGAAGCATATGTGGGCAAGTTTTAGTAGTTTTAGATACTATCCATTCATTCCGGGGGGGGGGTTTATTTTTAACACTTTACATACCAATACAGGTACGTGTGCTACTAGATAAGCACATTTATATTCACGTCTAATATCATCATAGCTCTCTTCCTTGTGAAAAATCCGCGGAAATTTACTCAAAAGTTACTTGCTGTCTTTGGAATGATGCAAAAGACCATAATTACGACGAACCTGGAACAGAACTATTCAGAAATAATCGGTTTGTGAGTGGGGTAGGTTTAAACTCATCTCACAACATATTAAACTGCGGGGAAAGACAAATAAATATGCATTGTTTTCGCCTTTTACAAACTTATACTTGAGAACTGTGGCCATTTCCAAGCTTAATTACGTTTACAGTATAAGATTTATAGCACAGTTCATAACGCAGCCAGTAGTCAAATTTCATACGTCTCATATTACACGATGCTCACTAACGAATCTCGGTCTAAAACGCTGATTTGTGTTACTATAAATTTTACTTATCTTACATTTTATATACATATGGGTACAAGAAACCATTTTCCTTCATTACAATCGGTTAACTTTGCAGATATCCCTTTTTAAGTTCGTTTTTGAACGAAGCTCACTACAAATCTGTAAATAAATCTATATCTCATTGGCTATTTTATGACAGAAAGGTGAGAATCGTTGCTAGAAAATCATTCGTATCTTAGTCAGTTCGTTACGAAAACTTGTAAAATCGTGCTATCTTGTAAAATATGTTGGACTTTAAATGCCTAGGGTGAATTTGTTTGATATTGTCTGCTATTAAGGCTTTTATGGCGGGTGAGCCCATGAAAATTTGGTGAGATTCGTGGTGAGCTTCGTTTCTATATTCATCTCATTGTCACATATACGCGCTTAGTTATGCTAACAAGATGGCTCAGTTGTCAATATAATTTTCTTTAAATAGAGTCCCAATACCGTTATCATGCCTGGAATTCAATGAATTGTGATTAAAATGTGGCACTACAACCCCTTAAATCTGATTTTAAATATACGCGATTTTGCAGCCGGATTTTAGCTATTTCCTAACACACGCATACGCAAACATTGTATAACACAGTACACGAAAATTATCCGTGTGCAACGAAATTGCTAAAGGACCTAACAGAGGTGAAGAAATTGTGAAAATATAACTGCGTACACAGCTTGATGATGTCTACAAGTTGAATTAAGTTAAGTTTAAGAGTAATGGTATTACTTCAACAGACAATCTTTGACAATATAGATTGCGACAATCTAGTTTTCACATGCATTCGGTTGTAATATACCATTTCCTGATACATATTTTCCACCCTCCCTCCCCCCACCCGTTTCAATGTTGGCGCCGCGCATCCAGACATCAGATTTTTGTTGGCCCAACATTGAACTGGGGGAACGGGGGGCGCTATTCCTTTCAAAATATATGAAATTACAGCAGCTGTCCCATAGTTTCTGGCAAAGATTGTCTGGGTGGTGATCAATTGTGTTTGGAATTTGGTAATTAAACGTTTTAGTTTTAAGTTTATACCGCCTAATTACATATATTCCAGTATCGAAGCATATGTGGGCAAGTTTTGGTAGTTTTAGATACTATCCAGTCATCCCGGGGGGGGGGGGGTTGTGATATTTTTAACACTTTACATACCAATACAGGTACGTGTGCTACTAGCTATAATGCTTAATAAGCACATTTATATTCACGTCTAATATAATCGTAGCTCTCTTCCTTGTGAAAAATCCGCGGAAATTTACTCAAAAGTTACTTGCTGTCTTTGGAATGATGCAAAAGACCATAATTACGACGAACCTGGAACAGAACTATTCAGAAATAATCGGTTTGTGAGTCGGGTAGGTTTAAATCTCATCTCACAACATATTAAACTGCGGGGAAAGACAAATAAATATGCATTGTTTTCGCCTTTTACAAACTTATACTTGAGAACTGTGGCCATTTCCAAGCTAAATTACGTTTACAGTATAAGATTTATAGCACAGTTCATAACGCAGCCAGTAGTCAAATTTCATACGTCTCATATTACACGATGCTCACTAACGAATCTCGGTCTAAAACGCTGATTTGCGTTACTATAAATTTTACTTATCTTACATTTTATATACATATGGGTACAAGAAACCATTTTCCTTAATTACAATCGGTTAACTTTGCAGATATCCCTTTTTAAGTTCGTTTTTGAACGAAGCTCACTACAAATCTGTAAATATATCTATATCTCATTGGCTATTTTATGACAGGATGGTGAGAATCGTTGCTAGAAAATCATTGGTATCTTAGCCAGTTCGTTACGAAAACTTGTAAAATCGTCCTATCTTGTAAAATATGCTGGACTTTAGATGCCTAGGATGAATTTGTTTGATATTGTCTGCTATTAAGGCTTTTATGGCGTGTGAGCCCATCAAAATATGGCGGTGAGATTCGTGGTGAGATTCGTTTCTATATGGATCTCATTGTCAAATATATGCGCTTAGTTTACTAACAAGTTGGCTCAGTTGTCAATTTTCTTTAAATAGAGTTCCAATACTGTTACCATGCATGGAATTCAATGAATTGTGACTAAAATATACCACTACAAGCCTTTAAATCTGGTTTTAAATATAGGCGATGAAATTCAGCCGGATTTTAGCTATTTCCTAACACACGCATACGCAAGCATTGTATAACACAGTACACGCAAATTATCTGTGTGCAACGAAATTGCTAAAGGACCTAAAAGGTGTGAAGAACTTATGAAAATTGACTGCGTACACAGCTTGATGATGTCTACAAGTCGAATTAAGTTAAATTTAAGAGTAATGGTATTACTTCAACAGACAGTCTTGGTGGTGACCAATTGTGTTTGGAATTTGGTAATTAAACGTTTTAGTTTTAAGTTTATACCGCCCAATTACATATATTCCAGTATCGCAGCATATGTGGGCATGTTTTGGTAGTTTTAGATACTATCCATTTATTCCGGGAAGGGGGGGGGGGTTGTGTTCTTTTTAACACTTTACATACCAATACAGGTACGTGTGCTACTAGCTATAATGCTTAATAAGCACATTTATATTCACGTCTAATATCATCATAGCTCTCTTCCTTGTGAAAAATCCGCGGAAATTTACTCAAAAGTTACTTGCTGTCTTTGGAATGATGCAAAAGACTATAATTACGACGAACCTGGAACAGAACTATTCAGAAATAATCAGTTTGTGAGTGGGGTAGGTTTAAACTCATCTCACAACATATTAAACTGCGGG